AGGGTGTGCTTCACAGCTCACCTTCTCTGCCCTAGGAGCGTGGGATGGTGGTGGGGGAGCTTCCTTCTGGGTGCTAGGACCGGCTCAGCTTCTCTGCCCTAGGAGCCCCTAGGCCTCAATTTCTTTGCCTCCTTTACCAACTAATCTCTTCAGCTAAGCCACCAAATGCTGGGGTTTCCTACAGTTCTGTCATGGGCCTTGTCTTTGCATTCTAACTATACTATCTGGCTAAACAGCTTCATCTCTGTTTCATAATTCAATTAACATCTTTAATTCTAACTGATGATAATTGATATTTCAATCCAAATAATCTAGCTCCTGATTTATAATCCAACAACCCACATGAATCTCACATTTCTGAAGTACCACACATTCAACATATCAGAAATTTAACACAGCTGTTCCTTTCAAGCCTATAAAATGTCCTGATGATTCTTACTTCATGCATCTTATAAGAACTCATGAAATTGTAGAAGCCTGTGTTTCATTCTTGCTATCTGTTTGACCTCCATCCCTCATACTGATCCTCTCAGTCCTACTGATTTCTTTTTCCTCCTAATGGTTCAGAAAATCACCCACTTCCTTCCGTCTCCACATAGCCATCTTGTCTATGTTCCCATTCTCCATGACCAAGAGTCCTGCAACAACCTACTGCCTGCTCTCTCCATTTCCAATATTACACTCTTTAACCTTTTCTCCACAGGACAGTTAGGGTCATCTTTACAAACACGAATGAAATCAAGTTGTTATACTCCCCTATAAAAACTACTGATCTAAGGAAAAATACCTGAACAAGGCCCAGGCAGGCTGTAAAGTTAGGCTCCATTTTTCTCTCTGGGCTCATTTCTAACATATTTTAGTTCATCTCAGAGGTTAAGCAATACTGGTTTTTTTCTTTTCCTGAATGTTCCCCACTCCCTTCTAGCACTTCTTCAATGCTCTTTCATTTCTTTTGGTGGCATTTATCTCAGATCCCAGCCCACATACGCAACCTCAGGAACACTCTATCCCACTCCCTTGACTCAGCAATTTGACAAACTTCCCCTAATAGCACTATACAGGTTATACAGATGCCTAGTTTCTAACAGTCTACCAGGCAGCCAGTTACACTTATGACATGTGTACTTTTCAGTATGCAGGCTGGGTTTCTATAAAAAAGTTTTAAAAATTTCCCTAAGACCAGATAAATCATTTTTATATAACATATCAAAGTTATAGTTGCACATGTATTTATGTGATTCATATTATTCTGTCCTAATAGCCTGTAAGCTCCCAAGGGACAGGAACTTTGTATAGTTTCGTTTAGTACACCACCTGACACATAGGAGGCACAAAATAAACATTTTTGATTGTAAAGATAGAAGCTGAGAGGTATAAATACATTGTACGGCCAGAAAGCATCATGGTGTTCTTTTCTTAGAACAGAAATATTTAAATAAGCAGGTTTTGGAGTACGATAAACTCTGAAAATTATATAAAAATGTTTATGTGTATTTAATTATGCCCTTTTGGGTTATGGTGAACCTAACATTTTGTCAGGCTCTCAAGAGGGTTCTATTACCCCCACCCCCCCAAAAATTAGGCACTACTGTTCTACACTCAGCCAGAATTTCATAGCTTATATCCATCCATGACAAACTGGCAAAATAAGAAATTTTGATACATTTTGCAAAACATGTTTATCCTGGTAGTCAAAGAAAAACAAAATTTCCTATTTTTTTTAGTACTGGGGATCAAACTTAGGACCTTACGCTTGCAAGGCAGGCACGGTATCACTGAGCTAAATCCTCGGCCCAGAATTTCCTATTATTAAATTTAAATCCTTGGGATTCTTCCATGCTGATGACAAATCTCAGTTTTAAATGCCAAAGTTAATCCAGCTATGTAGGGATTTGTGCCAAGAGGCAAAGTAAATGTGGATGGAGATAAAACAAGACTGACAAGGACAGGGACATTTATAGGGCATTTGCAGTGGAAAGAGAGAATAATGTGCATTGGTTCCTTATGTCAACAGACAGCAATGACTGGTTTTCTCAAAATGAGCATGCCCAGCAAGAGACCATTAAGTGACACACAGAACAGAGAGGACTCTCTATGCTACTCAGGCAAAACGATTCTCTTCCCAGTAAATCAAGATAGTCTTTCCCTGGACAAGGGCAGTGAAAAGATCCTGTATCCACTCGCCACAATTATTTCTCTGTGTTTCACAGGAAGCCAGCAGAAAATCTACCTCATTAAGTTCAGAATAGGAGATGTATACATTCAAATCAATTTCAAGCAATTCATTTGGGAAAAAATAATGTAAATTTTGGCATATTTAGCACAACTTGATAAATTCATTTTCAAATGTATTAAAATCAAAATGACTATCTGCTTAACAGGTGTAATAATTTATTTAGGGAGTGCTGACAAATTGCACTAATAATTAAGAATGAAAAGCTATAAAAATCTATCCACTAGAGTCTCAGCCAAGTCCTTGATATATGTAGTCATCTCTACTACTTATATCCCCTCCCCATTGTTCCATCCACCACTACTGGTTCTAACCTAAGCTTCCTCTTCTCAGTCCCACTAGGTGAAGGTAATGTAGCCTCTTCATAACCATTAAAGGGTTTCAGTGAAGTTAGGACTCAAATTTGAAAATGTTAGGGAGCAAGAATTGGGAAATCAACAGAATTAGAAGGTGTCAAATGAGGAAGGGTCAACATGAGAGTATAAAGAGGATAGTGAGAGAGAAAAGGGCTTTACTTCCAAACTCACAGTACACAGAAAAAGTCTTAATGGTTATCTCACATTATAAGCTAAACGTATTATAATTATAAAAGTCACTCCTAAAATACCAATTATATGGGCAGCCAAAGTAAAAGCCAGTATGTACGATGTAGGAGTGAGAGGAATTTCACCCCTAAGCCATTTCTGCATTTTCCTTTCTTGTACCTGTCACATTGCCCAGCCTGCTTTGCAGAGTTTAAAACTTCTAGATAAAGACTTTTTAAATAACTAAGCATACAACACACAAATAAAATCAGATTGCATTCTTACCTGCTAGGTAAAGTATAATGGGATTCACTTGTTTCTTGCTTTAAAAGGGGTTTCCCTGATGCTTATGTAACAATATTGGTCTGGAGGGCAGAGCACTCAGACTTAGCTAAGAATACTTATTTTTAAATACAGTTTTGTCTTCCCAGGCAGAAATATTTAATACATACTATGTAATAGAGATATTATACATATTCTTAACATACATCATTTATAAGATATATATATATATGTATGTATTTTTTTTTTTTTGGTACTGGGGATCGAACTCAGGTCCTTGCGCTTGCACAGCAGGCGGCAAAACCACTGAGCTAAATCCCCGGCCCCTATAAGATATATTTTTACTGTATCAAGACACAGAAAGCAAGTTCAAATCAAGCTTTTCTATAATTAGACTTTAAAATTCTAGCTGTTTCCAATGAAAAGTGCTTCAGGATCTCTTTATTAAGGAGACAAACCATATGGCCATGATGAGAATCACCTGCTATAAAAGTGTGCCTGGGACCCAAAGCTTTTGTTGGAAACTGCAAACAGTAGAGCTCTGTTCAGCTTACCGTCTCCTCATTGGCTGCACTGAGTCATTGTCGCTTCCATAGGAGGGGTTTCGGCGACGCGAGCAGGGGAACTTTGGCGATTTAGTGCGGTCATTGGGAGAGTTGTAGAGTCCGCTGGGGTGTAAGAGGAATGGTCAACATGTCAACTTGGAAGTTTTTACAATAACTATGAAAAGGGAAATTTTTCATTAATGTATCATTGAGATAGAGTGCAGAAATACCTTACTCTAAACCATCATAATGACCTTTCAGATGGTAATAAGTTTTCTATCTTTCCAGGAAAAAGTCTCACGTTAAGAAACATGCTTGATTTCCACTTCAGAAATTCCTCCAGTCCAGCTGGTTCAGGATTCGCCCTCAACCACTACCAGCTGTGGGATTCCTTTATTCAGTGGGTTACACTTGCTAACCCCTTCGCTCTTTCTCTGCTGTATAAATACAATGATTCCCTTTACCTCTGGGGGCCATTTTCTTCCCATGGTGCATGAGATTTGCTTCTTTGGATATCAGGACTATTTTCATTCTTTCCTTTTTTTAAGCTTTAATTAAAAAAGAAAAGAATAAATTAATTAAGTATAAAATAAAAGGAAGTGAACTCACATTTTGATTTATTCAGTAAAATTCTCTAACAACTGAGGTATGTGTGGGTGGGTGTGTTTTCTATCTGTAACTCATTCCACATGAAGTGGCTTTTAGCAAATACCTTCGAGCCTCCCCCCCTCTTCTGGGTTTATTGCTCTAAGTCAACAGAAGCCAAATACGTAGATTCTTAAGAAACTTCCAAAAGTGTGTACATCAGGATAGAAAGCGAATGTGAGTCCAGAAGGAAAGCAAGGAGGGGCGGAGGAAACAAGGCCCTCCTCTTTCCAACAGTGGTCACCGGCTCCTTGGCTATGGACTTGGATCTGAGTCAGTGGCAGTCAATCAGCTCTGGGCAGGCTCAGGCTTCCCGACATGACCTTTCCCCAGCTTCCGTTCTACCTTGGCTTGATCCTTTCAGATCAGAGTGACTTTCAAATGTTATTTCCTGATCTAGTATCATCTTGCTGTCCTAAGAATGTAAATATAAACCAGTTGTTACTCAATCGCATCAAATTGTTTTAGAAACACATGGGGAGACACAGAGGAAAGGACTCAGAAGAGGCCTTCAGTCACCAGTGGGGCAGGCAGAGGAGCAGCACAGCTCACTTCCTCAGGGGGCTGAGCAGCTGACAAAGACAGAGCTATTTAACTCCTAATCCACTTAGAAGGCCTGGCCTTTTGTGAGATCATCCATATAAACTGTCCAAGAATACAGCTGCAGCAGAGTGCTTAATAACAGCCCACAAAGAGGAGAAAGGAAAAATGACAAGGTCATTTCAAAAGATAAATTTGTATTGTACAGTACTGTATCCATACAGGCATTCATTTATGACTATAAAAGTACATACCTGACAAAGGCATATATCTCAGTCTTAGTAGAGAGTAGGTATGTTTTATATATAAAAATATATTATTTTTATAAAGGCTTAAAAAAAACTTCTGAAGATCAAATTTTCAAAATAAAATCTCACCTTCTAAAATGAGGAAAAGTAATAAACATGACGGAGCTATAATACAGTAGAGTGTGTGTGTTTAATAAATCAGAAAGAAAAGGGAAGAATGGGAAACTAGGAAAAGAAACAGGGAATTGAAAGAGGAATTGAGAGAGCAGATGGGTGTTAAAAATACTTAAAGCTCAGGTAGTAGGTTAATTGCATTTCTCTCCTTTAGCTACTTTTCATCTAGAACCTGAGTGGGAATCCAGTGACTCTTCAGGTAGCATCAGCACAAATGTGTTGCAAAGGGAATGGAGCTCCTGCATATTCTAAAAGGCTTGGGATACGAATTTCCTGGAAGATTACTGTACTTAGGTTGGATACACCATAAGCATACTCTGTACACACAGATGAAGCTGGATCTATCCACAGCTGTGAGATCGACTTAGGGAACACAGAAAATGAACATAAAGGTAAGGAACCTGTCAATCCAAAATGAGAATGTGTAAAGAAAACGAATTAGAAATGTAAGAAAAAAAGAATGTAGGCAAAACCCTTGGAAAACACCACAACTCTTAGAATCCTCATATCTTAGAATTATCTTGCTGAGGTATGATAAACTGTAGTCCTCAAAGTAGCCACAAGCCAGTGGCATGACCACAGCATTATTTACTAACAAAAGAGAGGAGATGATCTAAGAAGTCTTTGCAGGTCACATATCTCCAATTACTTAGATTTCTCTATGACGTACATTGGGAAACCTCTGTAGAAAAAGTGAGCTTATGAAAGCTGCTCATTGTATGTCTAAAATGCTGTTCTGTGAACATAAAGAGAGATAGAAAAAATGACTCTGAAACAGTGTCTTAACAGGGAACAAGGCTGGTCTTTCAGGGAAACAATCCATGTAATATATTAAGAGGTTTCTCCGCTGGGGAATGCCGCTGGGAAAATTGATGCAGAGGACCATGACAACTCTTCATACATATGCAATCACTGACTTCTGAGGCGATGACACCTCTAAATGCTATAAATCCTCTTTCCGGGGACACAGCTCAGTGCACCCCTGTAATGAACACAGCACATTAAACATAAATATCATCTACTTTATTTCACAAGTCCCTCTGAGTCTATTACATCATGCCATTTTAAAAAATCACATGGAATGTTCACTTTGCTCCTGAGAATACAGACCACAGATGATCTGTAAGTTCATCGTGCTGTGGCAACAAGAGCCTTCTTCCATAAGAGGCAAGTCCTGATGTTTTATATTTCACTGGCATGTTAAAATATTCTTTGGACCAAGATTATCTATTAGAGCCCATGGATTAAAAATATTACTCAATTATCTAAGGGAAAAGATTCTTAACTTTGCCAATAGGAAAACTTGTTTTTACGACAGTATATAGTTGTGTGTTTCTTCAGTTAACTACACTGACCTTTTTACTGGTGAAGGTGCAATAATTGTAGTTGTTCCTTCATTTTCTCCATTTTCCATGTTTGTGGTTACCCGGTTTATGCTGTTTGAACCTAGTAGGAAACACAGGGAAGAAAAGATGGAAGAGAGAAGGAGATGGCAATAGGGAAAACACAAAGAAGTAAAATTACTTTTCAATGCAACATTAGAGACACTGTGCCATGCTTTACCAATGGATTATAACTCTACATAAATAATTAATCATCCAATAAGTCTGAAGTTACTATTTTCTGATATGTATTAAGCCCTCAACACAATGTTCCAGGGAGCTAGGCTATGACCTTTGGAGACTTTCAGAGCTAACTAAATCTCCACATCACAGACATTCTTTCCTTTAGGATGTTTTAGTACCATACTATAACAATAGTAACATAGCAATCGGTTCTTGATAACCATGTTGTGAAGAAGTTTCTCAGCATATCACAACAAACCCCATACAAAATAAAACTAAACGAAAACAAAAAATTCAAACCTGAAATCATCCCAACTCATGATACAAATGGCAAAAAGAGAGTAATATACATGGGGTCTGTATTGTTCACATACAAAATAAAGTTGTCAAATTTGGTTTTTATACAAAGATCCCCAAAAACTTAAAAACTGCATTTTAAAAATGTTATTCTACAGACTTGCACATATGCTAGATGGGCCAGCAGAGGGAGCCCACCACAGATGCAATGCTGGAAATCTTGGTGGAGATAAAAAAATAAGGGAAACGCTATCTTGGAGGTTTTAGATCCTGTTCTGGGGCAGAAGCAGATAAGCCTGCAAGAATGAAATGCGTGGGCTGTAGTGAGAATTCCTCCCCAACACGCATCCACCCTACTCTGAGCAGAAGTAGAGGAAACAGGCACAATGAACACCCATGGACTCATTCAGGTAAGTCTATGTGGCATGCAAGTAAGTCTTCCTCAGAGCTCCCCTTACAAGAATAGGTCCATAGCTAGAGTCTGTGGGTCCAAAACATGCTCATCATTAAACTTGGAGGGCTTGAGTCCTGATGTTGGCAATTTAATAAACACTAATATTTATTGAGCATTTACTCTATGTCAGTTACTATTGCAAGCACTTCACAGGCATTAACTCATGTAAACCTCAAAGTAATCCCATGAAATAAATATTAATATTATCCCATTTTCAGTGTCAGGCTCTCTATCCTAAGGCCCCATTGCTCATAAGTGTTGGGACCAGCTTTGAAACTGAGCCAAATGGCTCCAGAGACTTAACTGTCAGCCACCCCTACACACTGCTTTCCATCCGCCATCAAGGATGCCTGTGATTAGAAGTCAGTTTAAATTAAGGTCAACTGGGAGAGACAGACTCTTCAGGGGACAAGTATAAGGGATATCCAAGGAAGAGAACATTTGACAGCCAACAGAGAGAAGAATTCTTTCTCTCCTGGTCAAAAGACTGAAAGAGAAGAGGAACATCTGAACACCTCCAAAGTTGGCAATCTCCTTCCACAGCAGTATAGAGGCATGTTGGGCTATCCATTAGGAAAGATAAACATTAACAAGGCAAGTATAACTTACACAAAGAAAAAACAATGCTTTCAAATAAGAGTTCCCAAAACCATTATTCCAAGGAATGTGACATGGAATCAATATCTGAACTTTGCTCCTATTTTGGAATCCTGCTATAGAAAGGTGAGTCTGGTGAGCTTGTGCTGGAGTCAGTACCAGTAATTGCATGACATCCTGAATACAGGCATTAAAAAGAGTAACATTCGTGTAAATTTTCACTAGGTGTAATAAATGGGACAAAACCCATTCCCTTGAACAATTCCATGTGTTTCAAACATCAGCAGTGTCATTGTCTAAGGCATTTTTGCCATGACCACAATACCATTAACAGAATCACAAGGGCAAGCTCTGAAAACGGCAGGGACCTATTTGAGATGGAGTTGCTTCTCATACGTAACGTACTCTACATGGCCCTGGAGCTGTGGCAGGAGGATTAATTAATTTAGAGTAGGTGTATCCTAACATTGATATGTTTTATTGTTCTTAATAAAATTTATTTAAATGTATTTTTAAGTATACATAACTAATTTATATTATAAATGAAAGGGACCTTCATGAAATATTTCTATTTTTATAACCTAAGGAGAGGAGAACAAATCAGAAGGACCAATAACCAGTGCCAGTAACATTAATGGAAAAAAACCGAGTAAAGGTGAACATTGTGTTATAACCAAGTTTTGTGTAACCAGTTTAAGAATAAATCTTGGTTTGCTTCAATCCTTATCTCTTCAGACTGACTAGTCTTTGTCCAACCACCAATCACTTTGGGGAAAGTGAGGTTGCTTAACCACTTTCATCTAGTTTCATTCTAACAAGTCTTCTAAAAATTAACAAACAGAGCCAGGTGTGGTGGTGCACACCTATAATGCCTGCTGTAATCCCTGAACTCTAGGAGGCTGAGGCAGAAGGACTGCAAGTTGGATCTCAGCCTGGAGTGCTTAGTGACTTAGGGAGACCCTGTCTCAAAATAAAAAATTAAAAATATTCTAGGGAGGTAACAGTATAAAGGCCCTGAGTTCAACCCCAGTAGCACCAAAGAAAAATTAATAAATAGGTAGAAAATAAAACTAAAGAATATTTTTAAATAGAAAAATTACAAAGTGTGTAACATCTTTTATTATTTAAAAAAACCTATGTCTGGTTACTCATAATATCTAAATTATAATTTTTAAGATGAAACATCAAATGGACAGTTTTCCAAAAGAATTTTATTTTATTTTTTCCAAAAGAATTTTAGAAGAAAAGAAAAACAAGAAAGAAACATGTATGCTCTCTCACACAGACACTCAAAAACAGTATGGCCACGGGCCCTGACGGCTTCACTGCTGAATTCTACAAGACATTTAGAGAGGAACTGCTGCCACTACTGTTTAAACTCTTCA